GGGGGGAAGATAACGCGCCGCTTATGCCTCGCGGTTCCCCCGTCCGTTCGCGCATATATATTCGGTAACTCTTTACCCGCTGGTCAACGTTTCACCTCCTCGACGTTCCTTTTCTACAAGTGTCAGAGTCTATACGTTCCAACCATTTAAGATGATATTACAAATTTTCCGTGTTCCACAACAACGACTTGGAACTATCTTTCAAAAATCTCGCCGGTGCGAGCAAATGTAACATTGCGAAAGAAAAAAACGGCATTCCGATCATCTTGCGATATTTGTAAAAGATTGCCGCGCTCAGTGTATATGGTTGTGAAACTTTCTTCTGGGTTTTCAGTTTCATACTCGACCAATCCTAACTTTTATAAGAATACGGTATAATAACAGGTCTGTATGTATATTTCAATTGCGACATCAGTACGTGCGACGACGGGTCCACAGTTCAGAGTACTGGTAGGGAGTAAGCGACGTACAATCCGGCATAGTTCAGCTAGGTTACCGAGAGGGTAAACGTTTCGGTATACGACCGGTACCCAGGGTACGTTACGGCATGAGCCCCCTGGGGGACATAGACTCCTAATCAGCCTACCTGGGCATGTGTCAGTAAATTGATCATTTAGGCGGCGCAAATATCCATCTTAAGCTGATGAGGGTCTATGCTCCCCAGCGGTACTGGCCGGAAGTATCGTGGTACTAGGCTAATTATCCTAGACGTAAGACCTCGCCTACTCCACTAACGAGTGCTAGGCTTGGCTTTATGCCTGTCCCGTAAATCTAACCTTAACCCTAAATCGCTATCCTAACCCTAATCGCCTAACCTAACATATCATTTATGCAATAGTGACGCAGCGGTAACGTTACCAGTTACGGAGTACTGCTGGGGACAATTCAGGCCCCTATGGTTTCAAGGATAGAGAACATGGGTCCCAATAAACAATGTCATTTACATCAATAATGAAATAGTACAGTTCTAGTGGGCTCGATTATGGTCCCTCCGGCAGCCGGCCGTATATGCTGACGGCTGCCGGGCACGGTGCTTGCGATTTCCTAAATGCCGTCGGCAAGTTTTAGATTTTTTTTAAAGCGTTATCTCAAGTAAAGCATAGGGTTTTGGGTTAGAGTTAAGGAATTTAGGGTTTAGGTTAGCGGTTAAGGTTTAGGGCTGAAGTGAGGTTATTTTGTTAGGCTTTAGGGTTAGGGTAGAGGTTAGGGGTTTAAACTGCCGGCATTTAGGACAACGAAGACCCGGTGCGCCGCTGCCCGGGCATATACATGATATAGCCACGAGCGTAATACTATTAATTATTATATCAATATAATATGGTAGGGTTTATGCGTTAGGGTTGAGGGTTAGGAAATTACGGTGTTAGGGTTAGGGTTTAGAATTAGGGTGTAGGTGTTAGGGTTAGGCAGCATTGGCTTTTTATTGGGACCATGTTGTCTATCGCTTGGGCCAAAACCCTAACGCCTAACACGGCGCTAATTATATGAATGAATGCTGAAAGCCGATTGGCAAATGTAAGCTCTAACTATCAACGTTACTGACCAGACATGAATGTAAGATCTGACAACAGGTATCTCAAGTGATTAATGTGTTTTGATTTACCCTGCACCATGCCTAATCGACATAATCCACGTATCTTACCTGATCAAAAATTACTAGAGTTCGCGGTTTATCTTGTTGTTGTTTGCGTTTGTGTATAGCAACCTAACGCCATTTTGAAAGCTGCAACCGGTGTAGACCAAAACGCGTTAATTCGGGTAACCGAACTAAATGCGATAGCTGAATGTTGATCAGGACGAGTATACTCTCTCTCTCTCTCTCTCTCTCTCTCTCTCTCCTCCTCTCTCCTCCTCTCTCTCTCCTCTCTCTCTCTCTCCTCTCTCCCTCCCTCCTCTCTCTCTCTCTCTCTCACTCTCTATCTCTGCCCCGCAGGCGACGCACCTCAGCGACACCGTCCTGCAGAACCCGTCGCCTCCCTCCTCCCTCGCCTGGCACCCTGCCAAGAGGCTGCTCGCCGTCGGCTGGCAGAGCGGCGACCTGACGACGTGGAGCGAGGAGAGCAGCCAGCAGGCGCAGCTGAGCGGCGTGCACCGCGGCGCGGTCGGCGTGCTGCGCTGGAACCCCGGCGGCACGCGCATGCTGTCCGGAGACAACGTAAGACTTTCCCTCCGCGGTTGCAGCGTGTGCGGGCGCGTATTACTCAATTAACGTATCGTGTATTAGGTCGTTTACTTATCGAGTGTTTTTCCATTAATCCATATTATTCCATAATTCCATTAATCTATTAATCCATATTGTAAAATTGGTGTGTAATAATACTAATTGTATTATTGTGTATTAATCCATTAAGGTATCACATATTGATCTGTTAAGGTATTGCATATTTAAGTTCATTATAATACAGGGTTCGGGTCTAGCAGAGCGTGAGGCCGGATACCAGTCTACCCTTCGGCAAAAACAATAACGTGGCTTGCTGTCAGCCGCAGTAGACGATCAATAAACCGTGCGCTCGTGTATGCCCGTGGTAGAATACGAATGCTGCACGTGAACTCGGCCCACACGCGATTTAAAGCGCGGGAAACAGCATCTATGAATTCATACGATGACACACTGTTATCTAAATAAACATTTTCATAACAATGGTCTGGGTCTGGGCTAGTGAAAGTTAGGTCAGGGCTAGTGGTTTTCTTCGGTCAATAGCCTGTTGTTCTAGTGAAATAAAAAGTTAATGTTGAACCCTGTAACGTATTGTGTATATTTTATTACCATATCACATAATCTGTTAACGTATCGCGTGTTAATATCTCCCTCCGCCACGTTATGTATGTATGTATGTGTGTGTGTGTGCGGTGTCGTTGCAGACGGGTACGCTGGCAGTGTGGAAGGCCGACCCCAGAGGCGAGTTGGTGCAGCCGCCCATCGCCACGCACGAGTTAAACGAGACTCTCAACCAGTGTGTGTTCAAGCCGGTGCCGCCCATCGACCCAGCCACGTGAGTCCACCAGGCCACCCATAAAAGATTGTTTGTTTCCCCTTTACCTACTCGCCTCTCAGGGAACCGAGTAGGTAGGTAGGTGAAAAATCTTTTTTATTTTGTTTTGGCAAGATGTGTCTATGTATTGTATATTCTGTTTTGTGTATATGTTTTTGCGGAACGAATTTGATTTTGTTTTTTGCCGAAACGAAATATTTGTTGTTTTGTTTTAATCGGCCAATAAAATGTGTCGAGTAGCGGCGTTTTGGCGAGTCGGTCGGTAAACAAGCCATATTTTATCTTAGGCCTAACGCTACGTGGGTCGCCTCCAGTCTTGTACAGTGGGGTGCCTCCCCACCACATAAGAAAGGATACCTCCACTATACTATAACGTGGAATGCCTCCACTATAGCATAACGTGGGCACTCACGCGCACGCGCACGCGCACGCGCACGCACACGCACACGCACACGCACACGCACACACACACATGTATATAAATATATATACATATATATATATAT